GTGGGGATATACAAGCAAGTATTCCTGAAACAGAATATTCATCATGATGGAGGAGAACAAAAATGAAACTCAGCTCAGGCGCTGGTCAGATCCGTCTTGAGTTCTTTAGCACCTTATTTAAAGCTCCCTAAGGGTGCCAGTAGCTAAACAAACAGCAATCTTCCTTGTAGGCTCTAAGCGTGCCTGTAGCCCGTGGCACCCAGCCAGGGTTGGCGCCCCGTGGGAAAGCGGGGTGAGCATTTCCCAGCTACGGCTGTAGGATGGCTCTTAAGAGTGTTACCTTAGGGAGCTGGTGACATTTATGGCTCTTGACCCACGTACCGCTAGCATCACCCCACAAGAGCACTAGGCAGCCTCGGCATCACCTGGAAGGTCTGAAGCCCCACAGCCGTGGAGTCTTGGGAGTCTTCCACGTCGGTTCATTGTCATTGAGTTCGTTCCTATCTCATTATCAGTCAGTGACCCCTGTTGGCCGAAGCCCACTCCTCTTTACTCTTCTGCCTGGACACCCACCTTCCTCGTTCCTTTTAGGCTATCCCCGGAGGGCAGACCTCTCCACACCCACCGATACGTTTTTCTCAGTGCTTTGTGACCCAGGTTCTCGAAGACGAGAGTGGGTCTCCCTCTGTGGCTCACCTACAGAATCCCACACAACCGGACAATTAGCCGGTGAAATGCTGTGCATCACAGTAGAGCAGGGCCTACTAGAAGGTTCCTTAAAACGGCAGGTTCTCCATATCCACAGCGGCCACCAACGGCGGACTGGAGCACACGGACGATTGCGAAGGTGGCGCAGGACCAGGCAAAGCTTCGTGTGGTTGTACACGGGAGTGCCTTCAGTCAGGACTGACCTGACACATCCGTCCATCCCCGCCACACCACACTCTCATCTGGGTACCAATTCCCCGGATATTTACCCAGAGGCTAGATGTGTCACATACCGTAATAGGGTGGGACAGGACAAGGGGATGGGTGCTCTGACCCACTCCCTACCTAGTGTGGCCGATGGACACTCCTTCCACTAGCCATTTATTCACAACACATCGGTAGCCCATCTTTTGTCTTCCAGGCACCGCGGGGTCTTACGTATAGAATGATAAATGAAATAGAAAACATTCCTGTATTCAAAGGCAGAGATTGAGTTGGAAAGTCAAGTCCATGTACAAATGTATATGATAGGCTCCTTCTCTGTTTGTGAAGGAAAGAAGGGGGTGCCACAGGTGAGCTAACGGTGCGGAGACAGGGAAAGACTCTCTCAGGAGAGGCTGTTCATACTCAGAACGAAAGGGAGAGATGAGACCAGCAACAGGGAACACCATGGGAAAGAGCACTATGGACAAACGGAAGAGCAGGTGCCAAGGCCCTGGGGTAGAAAAGGCTGTGCTGAACTAAAGCAAAGTGTTTCGTGCCAGAGTGGGGATGTGTTTCAGTGTTGCTCTATCCGGTGCTTTGTGAGATGATTGGTTTCTCTGAAGTGGATCACCAGGCCTTTCTTTTAAGGTGTCTCTAGGGAGGCACAAACCCACGAGCCTTTCAGTCGGCAGCTGAGTGCATTACTCACTTACGCCCAGAAGAGACTCCTGAGCCAGGGAAAGGTTGTCAGACAGAAGTGCCAGGGTTCCGTGATGGAGGGTCTGAGTAACACTTAAGGAGGGTGATCAAAGATGATTTGACCTGGCCGCTAGGTTTCTGATGTGGACTTCTGGGTGGCTGAGACTGCCGTCCCCCAGGATGGAGAGCAGGGGAGAAGCAGGTTTGGGTCAGAAGAGAAAGGGTCAACTCTTGGGCGGAGTGCTGATTCTGAGGAGAGAAATGTCTCGCGGGTTGAGCTGGGTCTGACCAGTTACAGCAGGCAATGGACCTAAGCCTGGCGTTATCAGTGAATAATCAGTAGTGGAAGTTTGTCGAATGGGTATATTCGCGTGGGGCCAGTGTGGTGTGGGAGAGGGGCACTGAGTTATGGAGGCTGAGAAAAATGCTGGGAACCCCCACGTCAAAGGGAAGGCTGAGGAGGAGACCCCTGGAAAGGCAACGAGAAGGCTGGCCAGAGAGGAGGAGATGCTGGGCGGTGCCCGGAAGGCAGAGACAAGAAGAGTTTCAAGAGCTCAGCGTGGGGATTGTGATAAATAGGATTATTATTATTATAAAAGGATGGAGGGAGGGGGAAAATAAGGACCTGATGCCAGGGCCTTAAGTGGAGAGCAAATATTTTGAGAATGATGAGGACAATGAATGTACAAATGTGCTTTACACAATTGATGTATGTATGGATTGTCATAAGAGTTGTACGAGCCCCCAATAAAACAATTAAAAAAACAACAATAATAAAAAACAAGCAAAAAAATAACAACAAAAATCCCTCAGGGTGGGAATGGCTACCCTCACCAAGTACCCCACAAACACAAAACTGCCTTCTGGGTATTACTGTCAAATGTGGGGTGCAGATTCTGTTTATGGTCACAAGATACTCGGACACAGTAGCTCGGGTGGGAGTCAGGGGTGGGAGAGGACAAGAAGTTTGACTGCCCTCGAGACCATCCCCTGAAAAACCCCAATGTACTGCGGCGGGAGGAGGAAAGGTCCAGGGCCGACAGAGCGAGGGAAGCGTTGGGAAGGAGGATGTCAGAGACAGCGAGGAGAGACCGTGTGCATGTCCGCTGCTATGCTTCGCCCCTCCAAGGGCTGTGGGCGAAGGGCATCCGTCTTCTGTAGGGTGAGATGATGGGCTTAATGAAAGATGTGTATGGTCCTCATCCCTGGGTGGATGCAGAATTCCTGCGCCGCTCGCTGCAAGGATGTTCTAGCAGATGCATTCATTCCTTGCCGCCAGAAAACAAAGGGGAAAAAATCCCCAAGAAACAGAGCCCATTGACATGCAGGGATCTGGAGGGGGATCCCAAAGTGAACAGCAAATTATAAGGGTTGCCACGGAGTGTTCTCGGGTCCAGCAGTCATGGGGCGGCAGGTTTTGTTGCTGTTGGTATAAGCCTTGGCCCTGGAATCAGTGTTTCTGGGTCTTCACCCAGGCTCCCACGGGCAGGGCATGATGCTTCCCGCCTTGGGTTGCCCCCCCAACCCCGGTGTCCCCCCTGTCAGATGGGCATTTTGACTAGTCACTCTCCCTCAGGTGAGCTGCTAGGAGGAGAAGGGGAATCGATCACCTCAGTACGTGACTGGTGTTGGATTTGTGTTTGCCTAGACCAAGGATGCCCTCTTCACCATCCTTCATGACCTCCGGCCCCAGGATCACTTCAATATCATCGGATTTTCCAACCGGATCAAAGTGTGGAAGGACCACTTGGTGTCAGTCACGCCCAACAACATCCGGGACGGCAAAGTCTACATTCACCACATGTCACCCAGTGGAGGTTAGCCGCTTCCCTTCTTTTCACAAGGGCTGATCATAAGTTAGTAGCCAGTTTTCTGCCAAGAGATGAGGATGTGAAAGCGGAAGCTGATTACAGGACAGAAGATAACAGCATTCCCAGAAGCTTCTGTTTCTCTGGGCACCAAATCTGTAAATTCTCCTGTTCCCACCCTCTCGTGACGATGCCAACTAAGTTATAAGAGAAAATACTTGATATGCTTTTGAAGGCTTTCCTGGCTTATCTCAGGAGTCCTGAACAATGAGGCGGGTTTTTCAGTTTGTAAATTGCTTGTGGGTGGAGGATGAAAGTGAAATGGATGATCTACTGTTTTCTGTTCTTGGGTGTCCCCCACCCTTAGGACAGAGCAGATAGAAATGCCTGCTAACAGTTAGCCTGCTCTGCCTGAGGCAGAGCAGCCGCTGGGTGAGTGGACTGTGAATCCCAGGTGTGTTGGGTGGGGGTGCAGCGTGGGAAATGAGCGGCGTGGCTGGTAGGTCAAATGCAGTGGAGGGGATGTCGGGCTCTGAATCTTGTTTTGGTTACTACGGTACCCAGAAAAGTGTGCAGGCTGTTTAGAGATGGACAAAGATTTCTCTATGAAAATAATTCTATGCCTGGAGAATCAGCACAGTAGATCCCAGCTATACCAGTGGAGGTAAATGCCTCCACTATGTAAGAACTAGGTCTCAAGTCTTGCTGCTCTGTGTCCACTTTACTAATAATGGAATTAAGAGGTGCTAAGAGAGGAATATTTAGGGGAACTGAGCCTGACCACCCTTCTACCCCACCCCCCACTCACCCCCACCCAACCTCCAACACACACTTCTTTTCTTAAAGGGCCTTTTCGTGACGGCACCTCTTGGTGGCGGTGTTTTAGTTCCTTCTTGTCTCCATCGAAACAGTTAAATGAAGGAAACACCCACTTCCGTTCTCTTCCATCTGGGACTTGGCATCTTCCGTATAGTTGCTATTTCACTTGGAAGACAAAGCCTCTGATGTCCCAAATGAGCTTCATTTAAGACTCGGATCTTCCGTGGATGACACCTCGATTTATAATAGGATTCCCTACCAGTCTCCGATAACAATGTGATCTAGAAGCCATTTTATTGGTTAAAAGAGAATTAAAAGCATCAATTCAATATTACAATGATGACCTGTGGCTGGGAGATGGAAAGATGTACAGTCTCTGAGGGAAGAGACTCTTACCATCTTTGCATATCCCCAGCTGTCTAGCATAGCTCCTGCACCGGAGTGTAGTATGTCAGTGAATGTGTGTTAGCCCTGAGGCCCTTTTAGTGAAACTGCCTACTCATAGAATAGAGTGTGTGTGTGTGTGTGTGTGTGTGTGTCGGGGGTGGGGGGCTGTGAGTAGGAGAAAGAACTTTAGCCGAGAATAAGCACCCTGTTTCTTTTGGAATCCAAACCATATTAGTCATATTGGTATTCTTTATATATATATATATTTTTTTTTTCCCCTCCATACTTCATTGGCTAACATCTACAGATGAATAGAACATCCATTTATACTTCTCCAGGCAGGATACTATTCTAGTAAGGAGACTTGGCAGCCTAGTGATTAAGCGCTTGACTGCCAACCGAAAGATTGGTGGTTCAAACCCACTCAGAACATCTGTGGAAGGAAGACTGGGCAGTCTACTTCCGAAAGGCTTAACGCCCATTGCCACTGAGTCAATTCCAACTCATGGGACCCTCTAGGAAACCAAACTCACTGCCATGGAGTCAGTCGATGGTGACTCATAGCAACCCCACAGGACAGGGTCTATGTGGGGTTGTTCTGGGACTCTTTACAAGAGTAGAAAGCCTCATCTTTCTTCCTCAGAGAGACTGGTGGGTGATTTTGAACTGTGGACCTTGTGATTAGCAGCCCAATGCATAACCACTGTGCCAACCAAAGCTCCTCTACGGGGACCTTAGGGACTAGAACCCCCTATGAAGCAATTCTACTGTGAGTGGGAATCCCTATGAGTGGGAATCCACTGGACAGCATCTAACTATACTGGGGCCAGGAGTGTAGATTCTGAAGACAGGCTTCCTGGGCTTGAATCCACCTCTACCATTTGCTAGTAGTTTCACCTCTCTAAGCCTCCACTCTCTCCCTGTGAATTGAGACTCAGAATGGGGTTGTTCTTAGGAGTTCTCTAGCTACAGTACTTTGGAAAGGGCCCAGCACATGGTATGTCCTTTGGGTAAATTTTGTTGTGGTAAGTAAGAATCATATATAGTCACTATTTTTAATAATGTGAGTACTTAGTCTCCCTTGGCTGTTTCTCCTGTGGCTTTGCGACTGCTGTGTGCTTTTTGTGTGGATGGGTTGGGTCCCTTTGCAGTACATGCCCGGTGGGTAAGTGGGCAGGCAGGGGAAGCCCTGGTTTAACACAGATTGGTCCCAAGTCAGCCTGGCTGTGCTTTTGGTAGCCATGGGATATTAGAGCCGATTAATCCAACCATTTGCCTTGGTATTTGGCATGAGCCACATGAATGAACCATTTGGCACTGCTGCTAAGAGCTAGATTAATGAGAAAATAAATACTTGCCAGTTAGTCTGTGCCCACATGTCCAGAGGCAAAATAAGATTGTGCATTAAGAAAGGGAAATTAACAGATGGAAAGAAATGTTAACTACAGTTTCAGCTTTAATGTTCCCTTAGGTGTGGATGCTGTATGCATCTTACAAAGGGGCACCACTCTGCTTACCACAGACACAGGCTTAATGGTTTTGCCAGTCAGCAAGTCTGGAGGAAGTGAAGCTGTGGGGCACTGTCTGATTCACTCAAACAGGGGGCCACTATAAAGGTAGATAAAAACATGCCCATCAGGGTGAGGGAGCTGTTCTACAGCTGGGCTGAAGTGTGGGTGTTCCACACCATACATTTGTTCAAAATCACTTCGTTTGACACTCCAAATGGGTGATTGTTTGTTTTTTGTCCTATAAAGTTTATGAAAATAAAGCTGATTTAACAAATTACTGCATCCAGGAAAAAGAAATCGTCACTCCAGGCTGCGGCCAGAATGCTCCATTTTACGTGGCAATGGAGGAACAGTGGCAGAGGTTGATGGGATTCATAGCTAATCCAGGGACCTCAGCCCGTCAACTCCCCATCCCTCTGTCACCCCAAACACAGCCAATGCTTGCCGACACCCACTGTGGGTATAGTCCCACAACTTGAATCAGAGCTAGTCCAGTGCCAGTGGAAAGATGGTGGGGAGGAGGCAGGGTCCCGGGAGAATCAGCACAGTAGATCGCCCAGGGATACTGGTGGAGGTAAATGCCTCCACTATGTAAGAACTAGGTCTCAGTCTTGCTGCTCTGTATCCACTGTACTAATAATGGAAATAAGAGGTGCTAAGAGAGGAATATGTAGGGGAACAAGGTTCAACAGAAGTGATCTACTAGGTTTTCAATAAGCACCACCCAGCTGCGGGCAACATTTGAAGCCATTCAATGCTATGCCCCGTGCCCCCCTATACCTCCATGTTTTGTGCCCTCTTCTTCCTTTGATTTCCCTTCCTTCCAATTCCTTCAGCCAGCACTCTCCTCCTGTTCTTTGTAAAACCTTTTCTCAGAAAAGACTGTAGAAGTCACTGATGCTAAGATATTGAAGACTTCTTTACTAAAGTAGCATTCAAAAACCCAAACTAAACTCATCGCTATGGGGTTGATTCTGTCTAGCGACTTTGGAAAACAGGCTAGACCTGGCCCTCTGAGCTT